TCAAGCCGCCTCTCTGTAAACTCATCTGTCCACAGGAACATCCAGGAAATCATCAGGAACCCAATCAGCCACTCTGCCTAAAGAAACATACCACTTGGAACCCCTCCTCTGATCCACGCTCCATACCACCAGGAAAACCTCAAGACGTCCCGAATCTCACCAGCACTGTAAAATAAACTCATTTACCTTTTCATCATTGTCTCCTGGTCTGGTCTCTCAGCTCCGCTGACCTGTTGAACAAAGTTAGCATCTTGTCAATTATAATAATTATACAGGTAAACTGAGTGACCAAAATCAACAGAATTGGTGCCAAAAAAAAAAGAAAACATTTTATTTTTCATATTTTATCAATAAATGCATTGATCAAAGTAACGCCTTTTGCCAGAACTTTCTTTAAAATCTTATAATTCTGTATTAAATTTAAATTTTCAGATATGATAACTTTAAACCTGACACTTTGACAGAAAGAACAGCAGTTGCACAAAAAAATACAAAAAACAAAGCCACGCCTTTACTTTAATCCTGATCATAACTAACAAATATAAGTTTTGCTGTTAATATTGTTTAATTTTCAAAAGTAAAGCGACATCTGTGAACGGCAGCAAAATGCACAGCTGAGGGGAGCTGCACCCTGAGCTGCAGTGATCTGGGTGGGCTTCTCCAAAGGCTGCATGCTGTGCACCATTCAAACAGTTGCTCATCACGCTTTGTTTACAACATTTCACAAAATATAAAGTATATTTCCACGTGTCATTTTGAAGAAAACTACAACATAGGCTAAGCACCAGGTATAAACACCGCCACAGCTGGCAAGTGCACGTGTGAGGACCCAACCACGCCTTCAGACTGTGGTCTTCAGTGGTCTTCAGGCTGATGATCAAATTGTGGCACGATTCCTCCATGTGTGCCAGATCACATGCAGCTGTTGACCGATGTTGATACAGTGGCTCAGGTTTCTGTTTTAAAGATCACCAGTTTTGTCTCCTGCGCCCACCTCGTCCTCTCAGTGTGACCAGTGGTGGGCACCTGTCCGCTAAATCGCAAATCCGCTAATTGTAGACCTAAATATTTCATTTGCGCTTTAGCGGTTTTACAAATTTTTATAATTCATAAGCAGATTTGTGCTTTCTAAAATTAAAATGCAGTACCGCTAATAACTATCTACCAGTTATCACTATCTTGAATATCGGAAAATATGGATTATCATCATTTAAAACGGGGGCTGAACGTCATCTGACATTACAGTAAAGAAATTCTCTAAAGAGTTTATTATTGTCTTGAACAGCAGAGAGGGCTAGCTGTCAATAACCAACACCATGAGGAAACACAGTATTGCAACAGCACCCTCTCTCACATATGATAAAATAACACAGAACTTTATCCTGTGACTAACTGTTCTGCATGACGGTTCTGAAAGTGTGTGTGTGTGTGTGTGTGTGTGTGTGTGTGTGTGTGTGTGTATAAATTTTTTGGTTTTAAATTAAATGAATAAACAATTTAAAC